TTATTATTATTATTATTATTATTATTATTATTATTATTATTATTATTATTATTATTTTGTGAGCGTGCGTTGAATTGTGGGATGTTCGCACCCAGCCCTGCCCTCCTTTTCACTACATTAACACAAATTAATACACCCAGCCCCTTCGCACTACCCCCAGCTTCTGCTGTTTTGTCCTTTGAAAGAAATACAGGTGGTCCTCAACCTACGACCAATCGCATAGCGAATGTTCAAAATCACAACATACCTGAAAAAAACCCTCCGTTTTAATCTTAAAATGGGGGCCTAAGACCCCGATCCGAAGTTATAACAGCCACTCCTTCTCCATAGTCATGTGAAAAACTACTTCGGGCAACACGGCCGTTTGTAGCGTCCCACAGTGACATGGCTCCATTTAATAATAATAATAACAATAATAAAGTTGAAAGGGGCCTTGGAGGTCATCTAGTCCAACCCCCTGCTCAGGCAGGAAACCCTATACCATTTCAGACAAATGGCTGTCCAGTCTCTTCTTAAAACCCTCCAGTGTTGGAGCATTCACATCCTCTGGAGGCAGGTTGTTCCACTGGTTAATTGTTCTCACTGTCAGGAAGTTTCTCCTTAGTTCCAGGTTGCTTCTATCCTTGGTTAGTTTCCATCCGTTTCCATTTTACAACGCTTTTGCCCCAAAGTGGCACTTAGTTCATTTGTCGGCAAAACGACGCCATAGCTAATGGTGGAGCCACTTAATGACCACCGCATTCACATTTACGACTGTCATGTTCGCTTAAAGACGGCCACACCCAAAAAAAAAAGAAAAGTAAAACCAGGCCCGTCACATGACCGACTCGTTTTACGACCATAATGGGCAAGCTTGATTTATAGTTGTAACTTGGGGAACTACCTATGCTCAGAGCAGTTGCTCCTTTAACAAATTGAAGGCATCCAGGGGGAATAAAAAAAAAACCAGGATAATGTTCCGCTCTAGAGAAAAATACAGACAACCAAATTTAGCCCCAAAATCTTCATTGCTAAGCAAAGCAATTATTAAGTGAGATTTGCTCCATTTTACAATTTTTTTGCCACCGTTGTTAAGAGAATCACTGCAGCTGCTAAGTTGGTAACACGGTCGTTAAGGGAATCCGTCTTCCCCCATGGACTTTACTTAGCAGAAAGTCGCAAAAGGGGATCACATGATTCCCCCGGGACGCTGCAACAGTCATAAGTACATGCCAGTTTCCAAGCACCCTAATTTTGATCACGTGACCACGGGGATGCTGCGACGGTCCTTAATGTGAAAACTGGTCCTAGATCCCTTTTTTCAGTGCCGTCGTAAGTTCGAACGGTCACTAAATGAACGGTTGTAAGCCGAGGATTATCTGTAACTCCAAGGAAACATTTTATAAGCAGGTTTTAGCCTTTTTCTCTCCCTGTTCCCCCAATGTCTTATCTTCCTGACTTTTGAGCCTAAGTTTTGAGAAAGAACTCACAAAAATGAGTTTTTAAGGTGTGCCACAAGAAAAACTGACAATAACGCTTATCTTATCTTAAAAGCAGGAAGATCACAAAAATTGGGGCTCCAGAACGCCCCGCTATAAAAAAAAAATCAAATCAATGATGTCGGTGTCTCAGGCAGGTATGATGGATGTTACTGACAACACAAACCATTTTTTTTAAAACAAAACAGCAACAACATTCTGCCTGAAGGGCTTTGACTAGATTGGCGCTGCCGTTTTGATCTGTGGCCGTCCTTCCCACATCAATCATGCGCTTTGACACTCAGTTGTCAAGTGGTTTGTGCCTGCCCGTGGAGGGAAAGGAGCAAGGCTCCGGAAGAGCTGTTGATTGGCTTGTTTGTGGGGCTAGTCCTCATTAAACCTGGAAGAGTAGCGCTAGAGAGTAGAAAGCAAAATGGAGTAGAGCTTCAGTTGCTACTATGGTTAATATTTTGTCTGTTGGTTCAGGCGCCAAATTAGAAATTGGGAGATGGTGAATTCTAGTCCCGCCTTAGGCAGGAAAGCCAGCTGGGTGACTTTGCGCCAATCACCAGGAGACAGTGAGTTCTAGTACTGCCTTAACCATGACAGCCAGCTGGGTGACTTTGCGCCAATCACCAGCAGACATTCAGTTCTAGTCCTGCCTTAACCGTGAAAGCCGACTGGGTGACTTTGGGCCAATCACCAGAAGACAGTGAGTTCTAGTCCCGCCTTAGCCATGAAAGCTGACTGGGTGACTTTGCACCAATCACTAGAAGATGGTGAATTATAGTCCCACCTTAACCATGAAAGCCGGCTGGGTGACTTTGCTCCAATCACCAGGAGACAGTGAGTTCTAGTCCCGCCTTAGCCATGAAAGCTGGCTGGGTGACTTTGCCTCAATCATCAGGAGACAGTGAGTTCTAGTACTGCCTTAACCATGAAAGCCGGCTGGGTGACTTTGCTCCAATCACCAGGAGACGGTGAGTTCTAGTTCCACCTTAGCCATGAAAGCCGGCTGGGTGACTTTTGGCCAATCACCAGGAGACAGTGAGTTCTAGTCCCACCTTAGCCATGAAAGCTGACTGGGTGACTTTGTACCAATCACCAGGAGATTATGAGTACTAGTCCCGCCTTAGCCATGAAAGCTGGCTGGGTGATTTTGCGTCAGTCACCAGGAGACAGTGAGTTCTAGTACTGCCTTAACCGTGAAAGCCCGCTGGGTGACTTTGCTCCAATCACCAGGAGACGGTGAGTTCTAGTATTGCCTTAGCCATGAAAGCCGACTGGGTGACTTTGGGCCAGTCACCAGGAGGCAGTGAGTTCTAGTCCCGCCTTAGTCATGAAAGCCGGCTGGGTGACTTTGCGCCAATCACCAGAAGATGGTGAATTCTAGTCCCACCTTAACCATGAAAGCCCGCTGGGTGACTTTGCTCCAATCACCAGGAGACGGTGAGTTCTAGAACTTAACCATGAAAGCTGGCTAGGCGACTTTACGCCAGTCACCAGGACTTTGTAACTTCAAGTATTTGTTTAACGACTGTGGCAGGAAAGGTCTCAACGTCAGGCATGATTTACTTAACAACCACTGTGCTTAGCAAAGGAAATATCGGTCCCAATTCCCATTGCTAAGCAAGGCAGTTGCTAAGTGGGTCACCCCAGATTCGTTACCTTTTTTTTATCACCAATTGATAAGCCAATCACTGCAGTCCTTAACCGAATCCAGCTTCCCCCCCCCCCGTTGACTGCTAATCCGAAGCCAGTTGAGAAAGGTGCAAATGGGGAATCACCTGACCCCAGGACGCTACAACCGCCATAAATACGAGGCAGAATTTTGATCGTGTGACCACGGGCATGCTGCTATGGTCGTAACTGTGAGGATCGGTTTTCAGTCACGTTTTTCGTGGCCACAAGATCCGAGGATGTTGCAACCCTCGTAAATACGTCCCAGTTGCCAGGCGCCCTAATTTTGACGGTCGTAAGTGTGAGGACCAGGCTTTTTCGGTCCCGCCGTAACTTTGAGCAGTCGCTAAACGAAGGGGCGTTAAGTCGAGGACTGTCCATAATTAACGTAGCTTGTGGCTCATGTGCATTTAACATGCTTCTACATGTCTGTACCCAGAAGTGGGTTTTGAGACAGTAAAAAAAAAAAATCTTAATTTTTAGCCCCGCAGGGGGAAAAAAAAAAGCCTGTTCGAAAGAGACCCCCAAATGCTTTCATTTTACGTCCTCAATTTTCCCTCCTGCCCTTTTAAAAATGATATCCCTGCAGAGGTGCTGTTGGAGGGCTCATAAATAGGATACTATTTTTTGATTAATTATGTAATTCTAATATGTTTATGATATTATTCATGAGCTTGTTTAACATGGTTTAATTTGGCGGCTCCCCATGGAGGCCCCCGTCGCACTGCAAGGGGACTCGTAAAGAATTCCATAAATAAAATATTCCTGGGTAGGAAACAGTAAAAAAAAAAAAAAAAAGACCGGATTAGGCTTCCCCACGTCTTGCATCCCATTTCTGCGGCATCTCAGATGGATGGGAATTGTAGCGCGCTACGGGTAGTCCTCGAGTTACGACGACTCGTTTAGTGGCGGTTCAAAGTTATGTGACGGCATTGAAAAATGTGACTTGCAACCAGTTCTCGCACGTGCAACCGACACGGCGTCCCCCGTGGTCACATGATCAAAATTCGGGACACATGGCAACTGACTCGTATTTATGATGGTCTAAGTTATAATAATAAAGTTGGAAGGGACCTTGGAGGTCATCTAGTCCAACCCCCTGCTCAGGCAGGACACCCTGCTATACTATTTCAGGCAAATGATTGTCCGATCTCTTCTTAAAAACTTAAAAACTTCATTTCGATTGGAGAACCCACAACTTCTGGTGGCAAGCTGTTCCACTGGTTAATTGTTCTCACTGTTAAGGAAGTTTCTCCTTAGTTCCTGGTTGCTTCTCCCTTTGATCA